TGGAGGGAGGGGGAGGGGGGGAGAGGGGGGAGAGAGGGGAGAGAGAGACAAAGAGACAGAGACACAGAGAGAGAGACAGAGAGAGACAGAGAGAGACAGAGAGAGACAGAGAGAGACAGAGAGAGAGACAGAGACATAGGAAAAACAGACAGACAGACAAACACAAAGATTGTAAAACCGTCCTTCTTTCCACCCAGAAGGTACCACCAACCTCCACTGACTTTGACCTTCAAAGACTCCTTAGTTCCACAAACAGCCGCGAACATCGCCCCATAAGGAGAATGCACACTGACAAGGTAATACGATCAGTCGGTAAAAAATATGAGACCGCGCAGATATGACCTTATGCAGTTCCGAGAGCCGTAAAAAAACAACTAAACAAAACTGAAATATGAGACAGGTCGGTGGCGGCCTATTTCGCAATAGAGATACAGCACCTCGAATATTCCACTGACGGGGCAAATTTGAAGGTGCTCTCCTCAAAATAATGAAACAGAAGAAACAAGATATAAATAATATGTTTCCGTCCATTGAGCAATCTTTATCCATTTTCAAAATATCCTTTTTTCAAGTTTAATTAATTTAATATTTATTTATTTCATTTTTTTTATTAATCAATTTTATTTATTCTTGTGAGTTGGGTGAGGATGTGTTAAACACCTTTAACCTCCCTTTAAAAACACATCTGTGTGTGGATTTTCATGATTAAAAAAAAAAACCCAGTTAATCACAGGCACCCAGACCATCAATGATTTATTTATAGAGGCACCAGCCATCCATGTCCAGGTGCTGTTTTATCACAGGCACCCAAAAAATTATAAAAAGGACGTTCCCGGGGACACTAAAGCTTGGAAGTCCCCATACTTTGTTGGCCATTGTCTCGTTCATTGTACATAATATGACACCAGGCTACTCCAACCTCCTTCAATCGCAAACATCTCGACTTCTTTTCCAGATAGATGGGCATTTTTTCATCAACGGCAAGACAAAATGAACACGTTTTAAGATGATATAAATAACCCCATATATATGCCCCAAAACTGA